TGTGAGATTAGAGGAGGTCAGAACATGTGGCCTCCTTGCCGTTTTTACACTTATATTATCTATGTCCAGTGGTGCCTGGGCCAATGGAGGTGCTCAATAAGTGAAAATACCAAAGATCAGAAAACACAGAATTTGTTTGAAACTGAACTATTGAAACAGCACTGGAATGCTTGGGAAAAGACGTGTGAGCCTTCAGATGGCCCTAACATCACAAACGACTAACTGTGAATATGTAAAGACAACCAAATGCAATGTACTTCAACATTTCAAACAGTCATAAGTCATCATTTTGCTTTCATAAACCAGGTTAGTCCATGTGCTGTAAGTAGCTGCCTAAATATCATTAAGTGAGAGAAACAGAGGTAAGACACTTGCTGTCAGGTACAGTTTCCCATATTTCCCCTGCTCCTGGCTTGACTTTCTATGATGAAAATAACTCATTGAGGTTAGAAAATGATGAGGATCGTATATCACTGGCACAATATTTTGGTCTGTAGTAGGTACATCGTAAATACATGGTGAAAAAAGAATACATGAATAAGGAATCATCAGACTCTGATTAGTGGGAAGAGGGATGAACTCTGGGGGCCATATGTGAAGAGCAGTCTTGAGAGGGACACAACGAAATGGCAGGCTGAAAATAGGATACATGGGCCAAACTAATCAAAGATTCATTTTTGACTAAATTGCATTTACCTGAAATTCTGTGATTTAATTTTCAACTTGCTATATAAAACCAGCACTGATATTCTATGAAAGCAAAGTGCCACATACAAAATCACAGTGTGTCATGTGTGTGTGCATGTGTGTGAGTTGGCTTGTTGTTTAAGTGCCTTTACAAAAGAACTACATTATGGAAAATACATGGCGAATGTTTCATGTGTCAGCAGGCCTATTTCCCTGGAGGACAAACCTAAAGTGCTTCTTTTACAACATTCTAACAGAAATCTACAAATGAGAGTTAAAAAAGAGCACACATTTTTGCAAACAGGTTTTATTCTCCTGGAAAAAAACTTAAAATCATATATTTCTGCCCTGGGACTCAGTGGTCCTACGTAGAACTACATGAAAGAAAGGCAGTCATCGTCTAAAAAGGCATGTCACAAGAGTGACAAAAATAAATGTCAGGTTAAGTTTATAAAAATTCAATATTATCAACGTCTGATTTTTTTGTTGTTGTTGTTGTTCCACCAGTTCCTCAAAGCACATAGTGTAATTTTTTAACGTGAGCTAGATAGATACATTTTTTTCTCTGTATCTCACATTACTCTGTATTCTGATGTATCCTGTATACAATAACTTTGTATCTCGGCTTTGAAAAGAAGCTAAATAAATGAATAGGGTTCTCACACACATTGCTCTCCCTAGTTGGTGTGGAACATACTGCCTGTAGACTTCACTTTGTAAATACAAAGCAAAATATATTTCAAAGATTACATTTATATTCTAGGGAAACAATCATAAAATTTAAATCAGCACAAGAGGATAAAGGAGGTGAACATTTATATGAACTGAGAAACATTAGAAAAGAAAGTATACGTGGATTTTCATTCATGCTACAAAGCAATCTATGCATTTTAAAAAACTAACAGAGGCCGTGCTTAGTATAAAATGTTCAGTAATCCTGGTTGAAATTAGCAATTTAAATTTGTCAAATGAGGTTACAATGCAATATCAAATGCACAAATCACAGAGATTTGAATACTTCTATAGTACTCAAAAAATTCTATCAAAAGGCCATAGGTTAACAATAATAAATGTATGCTACATTATTATTATTAAAATATGTAATCTTTGATAATAATTTATTTGTTTTACAAATGCATTGGGGGTTAAAATTTTTCTATTCATCTGTGACAAACCATGAAATTCAATATTGCTCACCATGACCAATCCATGAAATTTGTCAACTTTGTTCCTGATTTTCACAGGGCCTTCCTCTTAGATGAAATGACCCATTGAACTGAGAGCATAGCAATTTTTTCATCTACGGTAAATCAGTTTAGTTTACTAGGATTTATTACGGGCCTCAGACCTTAGGTTTTTCATGATTACGAACCGGTATGTATATAATCTCAACCTTATGGCAATTCATCTCTCAGTTTCTTCCCATTTCTGAAAGAATTCTCCATTTGTAAAATTAGTTCTCTACCTCGCATTGCCAGAAGAAACAAAATATGCATTTTTCAACCATATCTCTTATATTAACGGGTTTGTTAAAAGTCAAGGAGTGGGTGAAAATTATAGGGAAATGGAAATGAAAGTTGTTAATTACGCTTAAAGTTCTAATACAAAAGTCTCAAAATTTACTGAAAATCAAGATTTTTATATCACCCTTCCTAGAATTTTAAAGAAAGGTATAATTTGCCTAATTTATCCTAAGAAATAAAAATACTATCTCAAATTTTTACTATCAAACTAAGCATGTACAATTATCGAGTCTTTCAAAATAAAGTGACAATTTTGGAGGAAGTTTTAACTATTATTGTATTCATGTTCTATTATAAGATCTTTTCTATAACATTACCAAGTTTGAAACAAATTAACCAGAAATCAAAAGTAGCTCAAAATTTGAAGATTTCCCCAAAGTTTATTTAACTAAATAAGGTATTTCAACATATTTTCAATGTAATTGTTCATTTCTATTTATACTTGTCATTACTAGCTCAAACATTAAAGTCTATTATTAAAACTGCAAAATTTTGGCAGATTAACTGATAGTGTGAGCCCATTAAGACTCCTACAGTTAGGACTATGTTTTAAAATTTATTTTCTATAAGAGCTAACTGCCTTATAAAAATTTATAACTAAAATATATTTTTAGAAAGCTAAAAAATCAGGCATAATTAACTTTTTCACAAAATATCAAGCAATGACTGAGATAACCAACTAGGAGATACAATTTGATCATTTAAACAGCTCAAAATGATTCTGATTATATTGAAGCCTTATCAACTGAATTAGATTGGCCAATAGAAATACAGTGCTTCTTTGAAGTCTAAACTACTTTAAGAATAAAATAAACCCTATTGGTTGCTGTTAGCTGTATAAAGACACCAATTCACAATATTAAAAATGCACTTCAAAAAAATTCTGCTTGGTACTTTACACACTTGAATAACCGGTATGAATATAACTTTGCTCAATCATATTATTTTATATATCATAATAGCAAAAAAGAAAGTATGTTTGATACTTACTTATATAATTCTGTTAATGGTGCAGTCAAAATGACTAACGTTGTAAACAGATTATTACAATGGGTGTGAACTTTAAAAATTTTATCATCTATATATTCATGAGGATTCAAAAGTTTCTGTACAGATGTACAGACTGACCACAACATGTTCTCAGTGCATATTAAAATTGTTGTGACATCAAGTCTATTGGAAAGAAAAAGAAGAAAATCATGTTAAATAAAATCATTTTCAGTTTGGCATATACATTTTCATCCATCTCTCTTATATTAATCATACGTAAGAATAGAAAGATTTGGTTAGATACCAGAGCTTCAGAGATCAAAGACAGAAAGCATCAAAGGCAGTTTCTGAATTTCCAGGTGTTAGAGAGCTCATAATGTGATTGTCTTTAGGGACAGTGAGGTCTGCAATAGTGAAGTGTGGAGTTATATATATACTTATATATATATATACGTGCGTGTGTGTGTGTATATATATGGCATTATCATGATTCTATTTAGGCTGTTCTTGTCCTTGAAATTATACTGAGCAAAAGAGAAGGTAGATTTTTTTTAAAAATGGTATTATCCACACACATGTGGAAGGTAAATATTTGTTAGCAAAACAAATCTTACCAAGTGTAAGCTCTCAAAACAACATCATGAGTTTAGGTAGCATGTTCTCCCAGCAAGTGGTAGATAAGAAATGACACCAGGAGTGCAAATGAAAAAATTTTCTGAAAAGTTTCAGAAATTTCTCATGTTAATTAAATCTGTGGAAAATATGCTATATTATTTATCTTACTCATAGAATCATTTGTTTTTTGTATCTATCTTCCTTGAGTTTTATGACTCACCAAAACACCTGTTTAAAGATTACTTTGGAATAGGACTAAACTGTACTAATCTCAGTTAATTTCTTTTCTTCTTTTTTTTTTTTAAATTCAGAGTTGAAGAAATAAAAGATGATAATTTTAGAGCAAAAGTAAAATAACTGAGGATATTTTAAAATAACATTTTAGCCTCAAAGTTATTATATATATATTACACATATATTACATATGTTTATAGGTACATATGAGTCGGGGTTGACTTGATGGCACATAACAACAACATATATAAGTAATAAAATATAGATTTTACATAACTCTAGCTATGTGACAGTTGCAATCCAGACAGCACAGACTATGGAACGACTAAAAGTATCAATAATCGCTTTTATTTCATTGTAGTTTGCATCCATTTATTCTAAGTGCTAATGAAACAATTACTAATCCAAAATACATGTATACACAAATAGATAACTGATTTCCACAACGATAGTGATTTAGGATTAACTCTTATATAAAAATATTTATTTATTTTACTTAGAAAAACTAGAAGAAACAACTCTAGCTTTCTATGGCATTTTTATGAAACCACCCAGAAAATAAAAACCAAAAGTCTCTATAGCACAGCTTATTAATTAAATATACTACCTATTTCATAAGCTAACAATAAATCTGATTTCATAAATATCTCATAATGACTTGCCACCCCATAGTCAAAAGTGATTTACTCAACATAAGGAAAAGAATGAAGGTATTATTTGCTCTCAAAAAGTATTTTCCATTTATTCTTCAGAGTTCAATTTGAAAAAAAAAAAAAAAAACTTTGTTCAGTAATTCAAAACAGCTTGTGTGAAATACCATATTTATGAAACACCGTAGCAGGACCTAAACGCCCTTCAAATTGCGACATGTTATACAGGAACGTGATCAGGAAATGATCCCTACTGCCTTAAAAAAAAAAAAAAAAAAAAACCTCTGATGTCTGTAAGTTGCTCCTAAAATACATGCACAAAAACATTTTTATATCTAAAGATGTGTCTTAATCACATTAGATGCAATACATATAAAACCAAAGCCATTTCTTCATAGAGACCGTTGTCGTCACGTAATCACATTTTGGTAAACGTCACTGCCTAGTCATAGAATTCTACTATAATTCAGCCTCTGATTTAATACCCAGTGACTGTTGCTCCTCCTCTTCTGGGATTTCACATTTGTTGAGCTGACTTTTAGATGTATATTATGAGAAGGAAGGGGAAAAAATAAAAGAAAAAAGGTATGAAAATATATTAAGTAGAAAAATGATTAGACAAAGTAGTTTCCTTAATGAAGATAAACTACTATATTTAAGGTTTAATAAAAAATCCAAAAACTAAAAGCCCCTGGTTGCCTAGAAGCTCAAATTGGCCTTTCTATTACAACACAGCTGGTTTTTCCCCATTTCACTACCTTAACTTTCTCTCCTTATCTTATTAACCTTTGTGAGTGTATGTCTTATATTGCAAGACATCTCAAAACACTTTTAGAAGCAAATGGGATCTATGTAAAATTTTAAAAAGAAAAAAAAGAGCAAAGTTATTTTGCTTCAATTTCTATATTTCCACTTCAATATCTCAGGAGAAATGAAAATTATTTCCTTTCAGATGTTAGAAACATGTTACATACAAGGAGTTATGTCATGAGATTCAGAATTACATTCTGCATTATACCAACTAATGAAAATATTTCTTGAAAAGCAATGAGTTTCATACTTCCAGTTACCTTATTTGTGGAGTTCTTTTATAACTGGGATGGGCCTGAGCATATCTGGAGGCCAGTAGACCCAGGGATTTCTCTAGTACTTCTGCTAGAATTTCCTGGGCTAATTTAGGAGGCAGAATGGTCCAGAGATCGTGATGAAGAGCCCAGCAGAAATAATGCCACATCTGGAGCGAGAAGGAGCATCGTTCCCCCTGGCAAAACCACCACACATTAAACAATAGAATCACATCTTCAAAAATGTCAGTTTGCTTCCTATAAACCTAATTAGTTCGGGCTGAAAGGAAATAGCTGGAGAGTTTGACACACTAGATGACCAAGAAAGATTTTGACAAGATGTAAAACATCCTTATTAGCAAAGGAACATATGTTCTATTCCAATTACAAGACTAAATATTCTAGCACAAATCTAGACCACACCATTTAACCTAACATATCCTTAATTTACCTACTTCTATCCTAGGATTTAAAATCCACTTTTAAACAATTGGCTTTGTTGTTGCTAATCAAGTCATCCTAGTTTAAGACAGTGGGCTGATTCTTCCAAAATCTAATTATTTAAATTGTTTAAGTATGTATATTTTTCAGAAGACTATTAGCATCATTGAGATAATTTTACAGACGTTTCAGATTTCACATTATTATTAAATGAGTGGAGGAAAAATAAACTTGCATACTACATGCTTATCAACATTCATGAAACCAAGGGGAATGGGTGAGTTTTGAAGATTATTACATTAGGTTATTTCACCCATAGCATTTTAATACCAACTCTAGAAACAGATCTTACAATAGTCTGATTTTACAAGACTTTGTAAAGCTAAGGCAGATGTTATCATCATTTCTTAGTATTTTTACGGCACTTCATACTTCTAAGGGGCCAGATTCCCACTCCTTTCCACTCCCCAACAGATACCTTCTGTGTGCCAAATTTTCCCTGACCACAGAGGGAGACCGAAGAGCAACCAAGGCCCAGGGGACCAGCAGAAATGAGAAGGTGGCCTCAAGTGTTTTACAAGCATTAATTAGTTAATGTGCTCTTGGGAAGGTATGCTAGTAGTTTGACCTCATTTTCTTCAAACCAGATCAAAAGATTATTTGAAATAGGAAGAAGAGAATGCTTTCTATAACTATTATTCTGATTATGGTAATAAATTAAAAGCTGAACTAGTAAAACTTCCCATTTTATCTCTAAGAACTCCTCTTTGACCTAAAATTTTTGCTTTGTCTGCTACTTAATATTCCTCAAACCAATGTCATCTAAAAAGATTTATGCTTTTTTGTTTTACCAAAAGTTGGTAACTTCTTATGAAGATTCTATTAGTATTTTCTATACATATTATTCTTCTGGTAGTTTCTTTTACTGCTAAAACCTTTTTCAGCCAGAGTAATAATTATTTAGACTTAATATCTATTGAATTTCAAATACAGTATGCAAATGAGTAGAATGGTTACTCCTTGGGTGGGAAACTTGGATACCAAAATGTCAGAGTGAAGTTTGAGCTGGAAAGGATTTTGATCATAGGTTCAGATTTCCTGACTAGATATGCATCTAAACTGTTTAAGAAAAAAAATTATAAAGTTAATACTGAAGTAGCAAAATTATAGCTTCTTATGGTTTCTTTATTGTGCATTCTGGGACAAAGAATACTTACTTAAGGCTCTTAAACTGAGAAAGGAGTTTTAGAGCTTGATTCTCTCATACTTTTTGTGATATTTGTAAATTCAAGCAAAACTGACTCCAGCTAGATATAATGACCAATATGAGTGATTTGATTGTGTGGATCATAACACATTATGGATAACATTGAGAAGAAGGGGAATTCTAGAACATTTGATTGTATTCATAAGGAATCTGTACATAAATCAGGAAGCTGTCGTTCAAACAGAACAAGAGGATGCAAAAATACAGTATGCAACCACTGCTGTGGAGTCAGATCTGACTCATAGCGTCCCCTCCTTGGGATTCCGAGCAGTCAAATGCCTTAGGCACTACACCACCAGAACTCCCTGAACAAGAGGATACTGCATGGTTAACATCAAGAAGCAAGTGTGTCAGAGTTGCATCCTTTCACCATACTTATTCAATTTGCTGAACAAATAATCTGAGAAGCTGGGTTATATAAAAAAGAAAGTTACATCAGGATTAGAGATACGCAGATGTACAACTTTGCTTGCTGAAAGTGAGGATGACTTGAGGCACTTACTGATGAAGAATAAAGACTATAGTCTGCATTATGGATTACACCTCAAAATAAAGAAAATCAAAAATCCTCACAATTGGTCTAATAAACAGCTTCATGATGCATAGAGCAAGAGTGAAGTTGTCAAGGACTTCATATTACTTGGCTCTACAATCAACACCAATGGAAGCAGCAGTCAAGACATCAGATGACATATTGCATTGGGTAAATTGTAACTACTGACCATGTAAAAAGACCTCTTTCAAGTGATGAAGAGCAAAGATGTCTCCTTGAAGATTAAGGTGCACATAACCCAAGCCATGGTGCTTTTAATCACTTCTTATCCATGTGAGAGCTGGACAATCAGAAAGGAAGATCAAAGAAGAGTTGATGCTTTTGAGTTGCGGTATTGGAGAAGAATGCTAAGAGTACCATGGACTGCTAAAAGAACTAACAAATATGTCCTGAAAGAAGTGCAGCTGGAATGCTCCTTGGATACGAGAATGGCCAGACTTCATCTCACCTACTTTGGTCATGTTGTCAGAAGGAACCATTCCCTGGAGAGGAATATCATGCTTGGAAAAGTGGAGGGTCAATGAAAAAGGGCGGACTTCATCTCACCTATTTTGGTCATGTTGTCAGAAGGAACCATTCTCTGGAGAGGGATCTCATGCTTAGAAAAGTGGAGGTGCAATGAAAAAGGGGAAGGCCCTGAATGACATGGATTGACACAGTGACTGTGATGATGGGCTCAGATATGGCAAGGATCATGTGGCTGGCACAGGACTGGGAAGTGTTTTGTTCCGCTGTACATAAGGTTGCTATGAGTTGGAGATTACTTGATGAAACCTAACAAGAAAAACATGAGTGATTCACATTCTACCCATGGCAATGGATGGGTACTTGTAGTAATGTGGTCAACACAATGCCTCACATTTTTTCAAATTATAAAAAAAATAATTTAGTTGTTATTTAAAAAAAAAAAAAAACGCACTGCCATCAACTTGAATCCAACTCACAGAGACCCCTCCTTGGGTTTCCAAGGCGGTATCACTATGGAAGTAGATTGTCCAACCTTCCTTCTGAGGAGTGGCTGGTGGGTTTGAACCACCAGCCTTCTGGTTTGCAGTCAAATGCCTTAGGCATTAGGCCACCAGAGCTCCTATTTTTAAATGGTAAATGATAAAATAAAAACAAATTGAGGCATATAGATTTCTTCTCTTATAAATAAACAATAACAACACTTATTTTTAAGACCTTTTGAAATATAAACTTCCTGCTTATTTAGAAATATTCAAACTGGTCATTGCTGTTAACTATTCTTTTCAAAATGTGCACAACTTCAATGGTATGCAAGGGTTTTCATTAAAGTAGATGGGATCATTTATTTTCTGACCTGTTTCTCTATTTGTTGTTATCTCAAAATGTATTCTGCTGGTAAACATCTGTTATTTTTGCAGCCTCACTATAATGTAAACAGATGTGAGCTTTTATTTAGATTTTATATCAGGACACAAGCAGCTGGGCTTTATTATATAAGCCACTCAGTAGTATCTTTGAACGGACAATTCTTTATTCTTCGACTTTTGGAAAACACAAGAACCTAAAACTGAGCAGATGTCAACTACACTAAAAGCTTAATTTTAAACATGTAATCTGAACACCCACTGTGCTATCTGACCACCACCTCATCAGAGAGATACTGAACTCTCTGACTCTCTCAACCTGACAGTTTAGAAAATAGCTGTTCATGGAAATAAAATATCTAAGACTCACTTGATATCACAAGACACGAGCAAATATTGCTTCATATCTTATAAATTCTTTTACTATTTCTTTGCTCTGCACATGGTGATAGGTTCCCCTGAGATCTTGATCTTACCCTTAGCCTTCAGTCAGGTAGATATCATCTCCTTTCCTGTTAAAACCGCCTTGCCAAAAACCTTCTAGTTCTCTTTTACAAATCAGTTGTAATAATGGGGGGAGGAGGAGAAAAGGGGTGCAGTAAGAGAGATAAAACCATGTCAGGCACTCCAGTTGTCAAAACAGTAAAAAAAAAAGTGCTATTTTTAGAAGATTCTTATTTTTGGTATATAGAAAAGCAGCCTTACTTTATTTTTCTGAGCATAAATAACAACCACTAACGCTGCAATTAAATTGTAACTACTGACCATGTAAGTATATAGAAGCTACAGTACCATGTAATCACAGGGTAACTATCTCGTTATTTCTGCCTTTGAAGCTAAAGCCTTATCATAAGATCTAAGAGCTGCATGTTACATGGTAATTTGGTTGTTGTATTTTTAAAAAATACTTGGTAACTTCAATAACAGGCTCTCAATGGCATCTACTTATTTATACTGTACAACTATTCTAGTTCCCAATTTGCATAAGAGGAAACATAATACGACCATGTTGGACATATAGTGAGATGAAGTCTGTTCTTCAATGAAAACATCACATAAAATTGCTCATTAGTACACTGCCATATTGAAATAGTTTGAAACATGAGATGGATTCATTTTCAACCTCTCTGTTTACCTCAAGGCAAATAAGGAAGCAATGATGCTGCCAGGAGAGGGGAAGACCAATACTTTTCTTTTTATCTCAGGCTACCAGCTGCACTATACCACTTTCTCTTTCTTTCTCATTCTGCTCACTGTTACCATCACTGTTTGAAATATGCCAGGTTTGGAAATCCCTATATGGATGCTCTTGCAAAAAGAAAAACTGAGAAACTCCTCTAAAGAAGAGATGAAAGGGACTTAGAAAAAGTGAAAGTCTTTAAAAGAGGTTCTTATTAGCTGCTCCTCTCTGTTGTGACAACACTTATTATGATAATAATCAATGTTGGATTATCCAACAAGCAAGGTAAGCATTGGCTTATTTATGCTTACTTACTAATCTGTAGTGAACAACTTCAGCCCAGGTATGTGTGCAGCCCAGGTATAGTGTTAGAAACTGCTGGGGTTTCTGCCCAATCTGCTGAGGAGTAAACCAAAACCAAACTCGCTGCCATCCAGTCGAATCCAACTCATAGCAACCCCCATTGGGTTTCCGAGGCTATAAATTTTTACAGAAGGAAATTGCCCCATCTTCTTTCCATGGAGCAGCTTGTGGGTTTGAACCGCTGACCTTCTGGGTGGTAGCTAAATGCCTTATCCACTACACCACCAGAGCTCCTTCTGGTAAAGAATGTTGTTGTTGTTGTTATGTGCTGTGGGGTCAGACTCAACTCATAGTGACCCCTCCTTGGGTTTCCAAGGCAGTATCACTATGGAAGTAGATTACAAACCTTCCTTCCAAGGAGTGGCTGGTGTGTTTGAACCGTCAGCCTTCTGGTTAGCAGTCAAGTGCCTTAGGCACTACACTACAGGTCTTACATAATGTAGAACCCAGTGGAAGCCTCCAGTCCTGTTCTGAATTGAGCACATCCAAGATTCTGCTTCTAGATATTGCTGGCATCAGTCTCTCTCCCAACTCCACAACATCTTCCTGCACAATCAAAGCCTCTTTTCAAATGTACAATCCCTGATGGAGCACTCAGTAAGCAAGGTAAACTCAAACTTGTGCTTACTTACTCATCTGTAGTGAACAGTTTCACATGGGTTTCACCACATCAAATCCATGTGAAACTGTTTACTACAGATGAGTAAGTTGTTGTTGTATGTGCCGTCAAGTCAGACCGACTCATAGAGACTCCTCCTTGGGTTTCCGAGGCAGTATCACTACGGAAGTAGATTGCCCCATCTTCCTTCTGAGGAGTGGCTGGTGGGTTTGAACCGCCAGCCTTCTGGTTAGCAGTCAAGTGCCTTAGGCATTACGCTACTAGTAATCCATGCTTACTTACCTTTGCTTATTAAGTAATTCACCCCTGATAATAAAACAGATGTAAATGGAACCACAGGAACCTTCAGTGCTAAGCTGGTGATGAAAATACTACATTGAATAAAATTCCACTGTTTTCCTCAGTACTCCACAGGATTTAGGATAATCAAGAAAAACAAAAATCACAAGGTTCAATCCAGAGGACACGATGAAGTGGAAAAGCTAATGAATGAAGCTGGACTTGACTGATATATTTTCTAAAACCCTGAATATCTTTTATTAAGATATTATAAATGTTTCACCCTGTCCTGGAAACAACTTCAAGGAATTTCAAATATTGTGGTCTATGCATAATCAATGAAATTTAGAGAAAGGGAAACTAATGAGGCTTGATGAATAATTCTAGCTGATCCGGGGCTTGGTTACACTGAGAATCATTTGGCTTTAATTCAGTAGAAACTTGGGATTTTCGAACATGGGCTCAATGAAAATAGGCAAGCTATAAACGATCAGATGGGTCTTAAAGCCTGTTCATAAGAACTCACAACGAAAATGGAAAAAACAACTATGAAGAAAAAAATCTACTTAATTAAAAGCATTTATCAAACACAGATGAAAACACGTAACAACAAAAATAAATACAAGTATATCTGTAACTCATGTCTTTGGAAAAGCTCGAAGGTAGTAGCTCTCTGTCATTGTTATCTTTCTGGGTTTTCATTGTATCCCATTATATTCCAACTTATTATATAGCATTGCAACATTGCATCTCAATTAAGTTATTTTTACTTTTAAGCAGAAGGAGAGTTCTGATGTCTAATTATTTTAAGTTTTTTAAAACTGTGTTTTTCCTCAGTACAAATTCAATATTTAAAAAATATTATCCTAACAGCCTTCGTGTGTTAGCAATGCCAAGCTCATGTTTCTAATTAGCAGAAAGCAGGTAGGCAGTAAAACATATTTGTGTAAAAAGGAGGGATAGTAAACTTAACTTCACACCTCATAAAAAGCTTTGTAGTCATCCCAGTGGTGGCTCTCAGCATCCTGTAAAATGCTTGTAGCACAAACTCTGACGCAGTAGTCCGTAACTTGAAACTTTAGAGTGTTGATGAATTCCTGATATCGTTGGACAGGCACCAAGAACATGGGCCTGTTCAGAGTGAATGATCAAAGAGACAGAGATTTAAGGCCTGTGCAGTAGGAGGTAACAATCTCCAGTACTACAAATGGTTTTGATTATTAGATATCAATCATTCATTTCCTCCTAATGCTGTAGTCTATATCCACATTCACTTTCCAAAAAGGGGAAGGAAAGAAAAAAAAAGCTGGCCTTTGTTTTGCAAGTCCTTTGAAAATGTACATCTGATGTTCTACATATATGCACTTCAACTTGAGACAAACTTCATTGTTAATACATCATTCAAAAATAAAAGAATTCTTTGTAAGCCTATTATTAGAGATCAGGGCATTATTTAGACCTTAGGTTATTGTAATTACTAGAGAACAACATGCATTTGTCAGAATCAACTTTTATAAAGCTATCATATGCACCACAACCACACTTCTTTTGTTTTAAAATACTGTAATTTGGTAGATATCATTTATCTTATAAACGGTTTTAAAATAATCTGAAGGAGTACATTGATTTCTGGCAATTTTCATTATACACGCAAATATGAATCACAACATTTGACTACCTCTGAGAATTAAAGAAACATCATAGTCATATATTCCACACCCAGTCAAATTTATTTTAGTTACTTTTATCTTTAGGTATTTATATTACACCACTTCTTTTGTAAGTAGAGTATAGAAAGGCTGAATAAGGAATAGAAAATAGATTTCTCAGGTCATAGTGGGTTTCCAAGTCCAAGTCCATGCCTTCCTTTTTGATGGAGCCATGTTATTTTCTGACAAGAAACCAGAAAGCCCATGTGATGATACCCATGGTCATTTTCATTCTCTCTATATAGTAAACATATAGTCTTTATAGACTACTATTACATGATAATTAAGGCTGCCAAATGCTTCTTTTTTGAATATTATGGATAGTGAAGAATCAGTGGATGTTCTGCAGTATGTTTACATTAGTCATTAAAATACTAGATTGAAATACATTTTTCTCTATCAGCTCCAACAGCCAGTTGGCTTAGAAGAAAAAACACAGAAGGATCTATTTCACTATTGTATATACATGGCACAAAAACAAGTTTACTTTTTCTTCTCAGTATGGTAGTATAATGTGTCTTTACAAAATGGAAGGGGTTCATTTCATCACGTCATAACAATGTAAAAAAATATTTGCTCCAGATTAGAATTTAGAAAGTGCACAGGTCCTTTGAGCATGCATTTAGATAGATTACCTAGTTTTCTTCTTATCTATGTATCTACTTGAATATATCTGATGCACCATCTTTTTGACATATCCTAATCAGGACAAATGAAAATAATTCACCATGTTAATTATTATTATCTGGTTCTGAAATGCTATCATCAAAATTTCACTACTGTGATATCCAAAGATTAATATTCCTTTAGGCATAGCCATCAACTTCATTTAAATGACACTTACTTTTTAGTCATTTCTTTCATCAAATTATCATAGTGCATAAAATGCTGGAAAGCATAGACTGCTGTGGAGAGCACTGTGTGCAAGTTTCTCAGGGGTGCTTTGGAAGGAACCTCCTTGCTTCTCTCCTTCAGTCTCACCAGGACAGCTGTTGCCACTTTACAACAGGCTTCCACAAAGTTCTCTCTAATTTCCTGAAAAGAATCATCTCTGCATGCCAGAGCCAGTGGAAGCATTGTGTCAAGTTTTTCCATGATGTCAGAACAAAACTAGGGAGAGATAAATGTGGCACTGAGTTATTTGTACTCTGACAGCACCATGAAATTTATGTTCAGTGGAGCCAAATTCCTAAATAATGAATCTGGCATCAAACATAAATATAATGATGCTGCTTTATAATAATCGATTTCTCAGTTGTAGAAAGTTAAATGTTTTACGTCAAATAAGGACACAGCAAAATGAAGTTTCTCTATTTATAACCTTCAAACTTTATGCTCACCAGACATTATGAAAAACTCATGAAACAGCTTTACATGACAATACTTCTATTTGTAGATAATAGAACTCAGAAAGCACATATCCTTGATATTAACATGTTTTGCATTATTTCTTAAACTTATTCTAATTCTCTTTTGCTAAATTTCTATAAAATATGCCTTTATTGACCATCACATATAAATGTCAGTTTAACTTAAATAATCTAGAAGCAGTAGAAACAATTTCATGTAGCATCTTTTTATGCTGTTGGTAAGGAGTCAGCAACTTTCAGAAGTGGTCTGCTTAGCTTTTCACTATCTATTATGTATCCACGCTTTTAATGGCAGATGGGCTGTGGCAGACAAGAAGGTGAAGCCTGCCTCCACTCTAGATCAGCTAACAGATTTCCATGGGCAATGTCCTGGAACCTCAGAGTGGCAGCAGAATAATGAAGCCATCTTCAAGCACTCTCTTCTAAAAAAAAATCTCAGTCATAGGTTGCTGAACTCATAGTGGACCTAATACAGAGTAAATGTATTTATCTATTTCCATGATTAATTTCTATTTATTAGTATGTTCTTTGAATCTCAAAACACAGGCAAAGAAGACATTAACAAAACCAAATGTTTATTTGGTAAATTAGGTGTAAATAAAGATTTAAAAATCACCCAAGCCAATATCACACAGAACTCCCTTCAACTGCCTACATTTCTCCTGGAGACATTTGAAGGTATCTTCCACCTTCCCATGAAGCCACCAAGGCCCTCTTCCTAGCTGCCTTAGAGTCATGGAGCAAAAGGCTAACAACAGGTATAAGTCCTTTTGGCTAACAGTGGATCATGGATAAGAGAGAAGAAAACCAGCATTTGGTCACACACCAAGTATTTGTCAAAGATACTTCATCATTTGATCTATAGGTTTTTCTTACAATGGTTTATATTAAAACAGAATAAAATAAAACTCCAGTCTACAATATGAAAGAATTATGTATAATACTTGCTTTTGCAATTTTCTTTGGTTGGTCTTCCTCAGGAGTCACATGGCTGCCTTGCCAAACTTGTTGGACCCTTACAAGATTCAGCGTATAGCTTATACCTGAAGACCTTTCATTCTGTTCCTTCTGGAGAATTTCTGTGGCAAAATCTTCAATGGCAGTTATTAAGCAATGTGCCATGGGGGGAGATACTTCTTTAAATACACTTCTCCAGCCAAAATCTAGTAAAATAGCCTGAAATACAAATTTAATATGAAGTCATATTAATCTTAACTCAGCACCACATATTTCCATTGTCATAGATATAAAATTTTTACTTTCATTGTGCATGTATATATATATATATATATATATATATATATAGGTATCCTTTGATATTCAGGCATTCCCCAGGTTATGGATGAAATCTATCTGTTCCGAAGTGTGTCTTTAAGTTAAGTTTGTAGGTAAGTCGCAACAGGTGCATAAGGTTCTTATTTAGCCTTACTTTAGTGCAAAAAAGCCGCTTAGCCTTTCCAGTGATTTAAAAGTTCCATGTGCAGCAAGCGAAGGTGATTGTGATGAAGAATTTGTTGCAAGTAGGGGTTGGTTCAATTGTTTCAAAGTAAGGGCAAATTTACCTAACATTAAAGGGCAAGTATGAGTCATCTGTAAATCAGAGGTTCATAATCCAGGGACTTACTGTACTACAAAAGATATTCTTACAACCTGAGAAAGATTGCCTAGTGAATAAAGCAATATACAAAAAGCATGTGCATTTTTTACACACGGTACTATACTGACATTTCATTTTAATTCATCAGTGGATTTAATCAAAAACTTTTTTTCAAAATTTAATCTCTTAAATATAGTTCAATAAAAACATCTTTATGAGAGCCGAAAGCTACACTTACCATTTATCACATAAAGCAACCTCTAAATTCAATATATTTAATAAAGCCTAAATTAGATTTTATAGTCTTTTTTTATAGTTCACTGTTAACAAGCATTGCAGCATAAGACAGCATTTAATGCTCAATCTTTTATTTCTTTTTCGTTCTCAGAAATCAAGACAAGCCAAAATATAGTAATAAGAAATAAATTTGTCTGTGAAAATACATCATTGCATCTTTTTGGGTTTTTACTTGTTTAGAATTTTAGTTAGTCTCTCCACCCACAAAGTGGTAAGCAGCACTACTTTTGTTCCAGGAAATGAGGAATTAAAAAGACCTGTATAGCTCTAAGAAGCTCTGATTAGGGCAGTGGCTAAGGCATTCGGTTGCTAAACAGAAGGTTTAAACCCACCAGCTGCACTGCAGGAGAAAGATGAGGCAGTCTGCTTCCACAGACTTACAGCCTTGGAAATCTATAGGGCAGTTCTACTCATTCCCATAGGGTCACTGGGTTAGATATACTTGATGGCAGTGTTTTGTTGTTGTTTTTCATAGCTCTATGTAAGGGGGGAGGAAGGGGGGAGGAGTAGGGAGGGCAGGAAGCTGGTGGTGTTTTCTTTTGGTCCATAGGTTTCATATGGTAATATACTTATAAGTATATTTCCTCAAATTCTCCTAATGTTTGCTAAGGTACTAAAAACATTTTGGGTACTAGGCTGAACAAATTTTTAGAATTAAACATTCCCCATTTCAATGTAACTTTGTTCACAATAATAAGTCACCTACTCCAACTTCAGAAGACCCTAGGCTCCATATCCTTGACAGAATTACTAGTTTTTGTGGCTCTCAGGCTTTTTGTTAGAAAAAGAAATAAAAAATAAGTAGAACTAGATGATTTATAAAGTCCTTTTCAGGCTAAAGTTACTGACATTCTGACTTTTAACTTAATTTTCCTATATTCACATCCCACTCAGCATTAATTTAATGCTTTTTGTATATACTGTACAAAGTAATGAAATGATTAATCTTCTAGAGCTAAAATTCTGATTCCATAATCAGAAAATGTGGCTCTTGTTCTCATTATCCTTGGCATTAACTTGAAACTGAATTTTCTAAATTTATTCAGACCTTTAACATCATAGGGCCTGAAAACACATCTCTTTTATATTTGCATTAAGTTAATCAATAATTAAATCTATTCAGTCATATCACCTTCTTTGTTATAAGTGAAACATTAGGTTAAAAACAACAACCACTAAACCTTAGTGTTGTTCTTCCCATCAGAGCAATTCTATTTATTAATATAAAAAAAATCAATTAATTCAAGGAAATGTGGTAAAAATTACCATTAGTTCTCATGGCTCCTCTGACAATTTTTTTGTGCAGTGACAATTACCTTTCTTTATGGTAATTTTAAAGAGCTCTTGGTGGTTCTATGGTTAAAGTATTGGACTACTAACAAAAGGTTGGTAGTTCAAAACCACCAGCTGCTCTGTGGGACAAAGATAAGGCAGTCTGGATCCGTAAAGACCTATAGCCTTGGAAACCCTATGGGGCAGTGCTACCGTGTCCTATGGGGTCTTTAAGAGTCAGATTCAACTCAATGGTGGTGGGTTTTGGTTTATGGTAATTGATACATAATTATAACACATTAGCCCATCTAAATTCTCTCTTCAAAATATGGAAAACCAAGCATCTTAATTGTTGTTGTTGTTTTTGTTGTTGTGTGCCGTGGAGTCAGAGCTGACTCATAGCAACCCCTCCTTGGGTTTCCGAGGCAGTATCACTATGGAAGTAGATTGCCCAACCTTCCTTCTGAGGAGTGGCTGGTGGGTTTGAACCACCAGCCTTCTGGTTAGCAGTCAAGTGCCTTAGGCACTACGCTACCAGAGCTCCCAAGCATCTTAACAGATGTGTCAAAGAAAAAAAAAGAAAATTTTTATTACTCAAATTTCTCCTCCTAGAAGTCTGTTTTGAAGATTCTGATATCTAATGCTCACTTGCTTCCACTCACCCCATGTTATGCCTGACATCGTAAGTATTCTACTTAGAACAGAAAGGATTTACTAATTGCTCCAAGAAAAAAAAAAAGAAATCATGTGGCTTTCTGTTCTGAGCACAAAGTAGATGTTTGCCGAATCCCATTTCTTCTATTAAAAAAACAAAACTCACTGCTATCGAGTCGATTCTGACTCACAGTGACCCCCACTGGGTTTCTGAGGGGGTAAATCCTTATGGAAGTAGACTGCCCCATCTCCTTTCCACAGAGCAGCTGGTGCTTTTGAACCACCAATCTTCTGGTTAGCAGCCAAATGCTTTAGGCACTAGGCTACCCAAGCTCTTTATTTCTTCTATTACCTAATACTACTTTCTGAGCACTTAGTCTGGTTTCTGGTTAAAGCATAATGTATAACTTCATTTTCCTGATTATTTCTCTTGGCTTCTAGACTGAAGCTCTGCTGTCATTGTGTTATATTATCTTTTACATATATACCTAGTATATTTCCATTCAGAAAATAGAAACCATTGCAGGTATTTCAAAGGGAAGAATTTTGACATAAGTGTTAGTTAAAGGTGACGAAAAATTTCAGGAGCCAAACACAGGTGGTGAAGGAAAGAAGGAAGCCACTACCACTTTAGGCCTGGAGAAACAAAGAAAGGAGACTGTGCTAAGGACTCTAGCTGCTGAGACCAAGGGTGCAAGTGAAACCAAAGGCATATCTTCCAGATGGATCTGGAACCATGAAGGGAAGAGTTGTCTGGTGTGAGCAGGAGCCATGGAGAAGACAAAGGAGTCACAGTCACTGCCAGAGATGCCCCTAAGCAGACCAAGGGGAAGAAATATCCTGGTGTCTCCCAAATTCCTACCCTCCAGTCTTCCATCAATGCCCTTTTACTGGACAAACCAGAATCGAGAAGTCAAGGAAACCTAGAAAATGTACTTCTCTACAATACAGAGCAGAACAGAGGAAGAATGGAATCTGAGAACACACAGGCACAAGATAGACACCCCCACCCAAAAAAGAAAAAAAAAAAGGCAATTTAAACTATTCTTTCTTCTTTTGTTTACCTTTTTAATCTCCATTTTTTTCAATTTTTAACAATTATCTATGACTCAAATTTTCAAAGTGCAGCCTCTGAGTTAGTACAAGAACAAAGATCTCCTGACTTCCACCACTCCTCTGATAAAAGGTGGTACTGTGGTAAGGCATTTGGTTGCTAACCAAAAGGTCAGTGATTTGAACCCACCAGCTGCTCCATGGAAGAAAGATAAGGCAATCTGCTTCCACAAAGATTTATAGGCTCGGAAATCCTATGGTGGTTGCTATGAATTAGAACTACTTGATGGCAGTGGGAGAGAGTGTCTCCTCCAATGGACGGAGTTGGCAAAGGGACAATGTCCCCACGAAATTGAATTTTTGTAAAAGCTTAGAAGCTAATTTCCAACCATGAATTATTTTTTAGTGACAACAGATAAAACTCACGATATATTCATTCGCAATGGATTCACAGACATGATATACTATTATATATAAATAAAAAATACCACTCTTTTTTCCATACCTCTTTTACAGGTAGCAATTGCTCTGAAGGAACACTGGCTTCACTTGCTCTAGGTTTCCCTATTACAACTCCTTTACTGGATGTCTCCAAAATGCCTAAAAAAGGAAACCCACAAACACAAAAAGGCCACACTACAGGTGATTAATAGATACAAGCTAAAATTAATCATACAGAAAAGGTCTAGTCATAATATACCTACACACACATATACCCACACACACATAGCAATAATTCATTATAAAGATATAAACGCTGTAACAGATAAGACGTAACTCACAATTTCTAAAATGGAAATCTTTTCCCTTTTTTTTTTTTTTTTTTTTTTGTATTTAGTAACTCTTTTCCATGAGTGAGTCAAATAAACTGACTAAATACATAAATAAATAAATAATCCAAAAAGAAATATTTCTGTTTTCTCATGAAGGTTCTGCTAATGATAACTCACTTGATATGGATGTTTTAGCAATTGTCTTAATTTTTTTCTTAGACTTGGTATATGATAATGAATTACATACTATGGCCCAATTTTTCTTTGAGGTTTTCCACCTTACAAGGAATTTTAAGGATTAATTTCTACTTATGTTTTAGGCATAGCAAAATTTTACTGATTCTTATGGGTAAAACTTACAAATAATGGAGTCATCTAGTTGATACATGGTTTTTTGTTTTAATTTTTCCCAAATGTGGTTCTAAGGACTTGATTGTGAATGATTCCTAAGGAATACAGCTCACAAAAAAATAAAAATAGTTTGTTCTGTTAGTTTCAGAATTCTTACACACAAAGTATATTAAGGAGGTAAGTATTCTATTTGGTAGCCACTATCACCCTTTTGGGAAACCTTCAGAGATGGTCTATTCTGAAGAAAAGTTTTCCTCAACTCTACTGTTTCTTAATCATTTTGGACTTATAAACACTTCTGAGAACTTGGCTAAAGTGATAGAATGCTCTGTACAAAAAGGCACAATATGACCAGATGGCAGACACACACATACTTATTGGGAATTCCCAGACCATCTCATAAAGCTCATTCATGAACCCCAAGGGCCCATGGACTTTATTTTAAGAATCCTGCTCTATTTCTTAAGACACATCACAAGGCAAAGAAGGTTTCAGTTAAAGTAATGCTACATTATTTAACCTGAAATACTTTATCTATGGCTTGCATTTTATTAATTCTTTTTATGAAGATGGTGTAATAAATAAGGATCAATTCTAACATTGAAATAAATTCCAGATTAATCAAAGATTTTAAACTAAAGAATTACTGTAAAGAATTGTAAAGAATTACATTTAAAGAATTACTATGAAACTGTAAGCCTATAAGAATACAAATTTTTTTAAAAGTTCTGTGTAGAGAAGTCTACATTAAAGTCATAAAAAATTCTGCATAATAAAAACACCTTTAACAATCAAAATAGAAATGACAGATTTATTTGACAATCTCTCACAAAATGTCCACAGATTTTTATTTGGCAATTTCACATTAAAAATGTACCACCACCACCCCAGATACAGTTGTACACATATAAGAGATATTTCAGGGAAATTTGGTGTATTGGTATCTGTGATAGCGAATGACTAAAGAAAAACAACAAAACAATATCCACCAATGAGTAGCTGGTTAAATCATGGTACATGTACCCAATGGAATACTATTCAGCTATTAGAAAGAATGAGGTTTTCTGAATAGTAAAAAAAGAATAGCTGCATAGTACAACATTTTGTGTTATTTTAACATGGGAATATCTATGGAATAGGTTGCCTTTGGAAAGTGAAACTGGAATGGAAAATTACTTAATTTTCACCATATACTCAAATGCCTTGTTCAAAAGTTTGACTACTATTTGGAAAAAAAAAATTGAAGAAGAAAAAACAATAAAGATTAAATTGTTAATGACGTAAAGGAGAAACACTTGGATTGTAATCTATTTACTTTTCTGCAGATAGCTCACTAAACTAGTTAATTTAAAAGGCATTTACTTTGGAAAAAATAGTTTAAAAGTCTAAGCTTTGATCTGTTCCTGGAAATAAGTATCTGCCATTGTGCAGCTATAGTTTAAGATTTATGAAAAAAGTTAATTATCTTATATTTATAATTTCAAGCCCAAATACATTATGTTTATTCACTCAAAGTAATGTGCTTAGATGTTTATACAAACCATCTGCCTATTTTCAAGATGAGTAAGAGAAAAAGATAAGCTTTCCAAGATTTCTCTCACTGTTGAGCAATTCTACAGTAAGATAGAAAATGATCAATCAATTAGGACACGCTTTAAAATATCTACCCCCCCCAAATTGAAATATTTTCAATTTAATCCTATACAGACAAACAAAAAGGACTAATAGGCAGGACTAATAAGTAACAATGAATCCAGATTAAGAAGATAACTCATGGCTTTAGCAAGTTGTGGCATTTTTATGTTTATTTGGAATTCAAAATGGTGAATTTAAAAAATTAAGCATTGTAGACTTCTACGAGCTCTGTGAACATTTGGAAATTTATTTCACACAAGTAAAAAATATACTGAAAATGATATACACTTAGCATTGTTTAGATAAAGTAGCCCATTTTTGGCTCATTGCGCTAAAATGTATAGTTACTGCATTCAGTCAACATTGATTTCTTTAAGAGCATGCCTAGATTAAGAAGCCCAGAAGAGTGCAGAGGGTCACAGGAATGCCAGCTACTGAATGGCTTTCCCCCACAGAGTTCTCTGTGGTTCATTTTGCACTTCTGGTTAGTTTCCACACTGCGGCTTTCTTTCATAGAGAGTGGAGGTTGGCAGTACTTCCCTGTGACATCCACTTTCACACCCAAATTGGTCTTCATAGGTTCCCATTGTGTGCATTACAAAGCAACTTGCCTTGTTGGCAGCTATAAGTGAGAACTACATGTCTTTCTTTTCTTCACTGTTCTTTTCTGGCTCACAAGCAACCTCCCACCAAAAGCTGAATCTGTGGAAGAGACTACATCCAAGAGATAATACTATGAAAAAGTATGAAGAGAAGCCCAGGTGGCCACCTTGCAAATTTCCAATGTGGAAGCCTTCGACCTCTCTGCCCAAGAAACAGCTAAAGTCCTAGTGTAATGAGCTTTACAAACCCTAGGAGCCTCTTTACCTTAACTACATACGCCTCCCTAATACAATCCCTTAACCATCTAGCTAAAAAACTCTTAGAAGCCATTTGACCCCTCTTAGGACCCCCTAAGAGTACAAACAATCTTTCAGAAGATCTGAAATCTTTGATTCTTCTGAGACAAACCCTAAGTGTTCTTCTTACATCCAATTGAAGCAGCCATTGCTCTTTGTCATTGCTGGGGCTAAAAAAAATGAGGGCCAAGAAACCTCCTGGTTTAGATAAATCTCAGATGCCACCTTTGGAAAAATTGAGGAACTGCCCAAAGAACAACTTTATTCTGAAGAAGAATTAGAAATGCCCCATATATCAAACCTGAGGCCAATACATAGATAGGATTACCTAAAAGAAATAAAGTAAGGCACCATAATAGTCAAATAATATCATTTTCTGAAATGACAAAAAAAAAAAAAAAAACCATGAAATCATGACCAAACAAAAGCAAATACATATAATGACCAAATGGCTGTTCTTCCTCAGAAAATATTTCTTGTGTTTCTACAAATACTACTGCTCCATATTCAAATTACTAAGAGAACAGCTAATTTGGCTAGCACTACAATATAGTAGTAAACATCAAAGAAAAAGTAAAATATCAGTTAATCATCTGGATATTTTCTCAACGCAATGGTAAACACCTGGATATTTTTTAAAACATCTGGACAATGAAAAAAAAATTCACTTTTCATCAGATTGTTTGGGTTATGTAGACATAGTAGGCAACTCTTTCCAAGATCTTTATTAGCAAAATATGCTCCAATCAAAAGAAATACACAGAAAACCAAATGACTTGATCTCTTTTTTTCCTCTCTTTCTCTCCCACACAAGATCCCTAAGCAAAACATTAACTGTCAGGAATATCCAATAGTTAACTTAAGAACAGATTTGGTTACTTTAATCATCCTTTTCAGTAATTTTTTCCCTTCCTGATTGAAGAAACCAAAGATTTTGATAAGGATTGATTAACTTGGCTACCCTAAATAAGACATTTTCTTTTTTCTCGACAATTTTCCTCAGGATCATTCTTCTCAGGGAGCCATTTACATAAAGTTGTGTCAGTAAATCAATCATAGCTTTCTTACAAAAAATTTATTAATATAAATAATGAAGAACATGAGTATCATAACAGATATTCTAGTACTCGGGCATTTCCTATACCTGCCTTTCAAAATTCCTTCTACATAGTATGCTTGATAATCAACAAAGATGTTTACATGGTACACTTTCATTAAAGCAATTTTGAAGTTGCTTTTATTTGCCATAGGCTGATATGATAAGAGCCAAATTTGGGATGAGTAGTATATTGTGTTATTATTATGTATTTATTCTATTGATTTTATTCAAGACTGGTGACTATTGCTCTCAAATATAACGGGTTTGCAATCTCACACTGCTTTATCTTAATCTAATGGAGTCAAACCAGTTTTTTCCTAAAATCACTAGCTCAAATATTTGCTTTTTAGTGACCATTTCAGTTTTATATCTTTGTAATCCCTTTCCAATCAAATTCTAGTTTTGAATTTATGCTCTTAAGAAATTTAAAGTCTTAAGAAGACTAGGGTCCCAGAACTGCTCTAATTTCCCAAGGGTCTGGCCAACCACCAATATAAGATGATTCCAAAACTGGTTGTTGTTAGGTGCTTTTGAGTCAGTTCTGACTCGTAGTGACCCTAAGTACAACAGAAGGAAACACTTCCCAGTCCTGCGACATTCTCACAATCATTCCTATGTTTCAGCACATTGTTGGAACCACTGTACTTTACAAAAAATGACGTCTTTCTCCAAGGACTGGTCCTTCCTGATAACATGATGTCCAAAGTACATGAGATGAAATCTTGCCATCCTCACTTACAAGGACCATTCTGGTCATACTTCTTCCAAGATAGATTTGTTCATTTTTCTGACAGTCCATGGTATATTCAATATTCTTCACCAACACCATAATTCAAATGCATCAACTCTTCTTTGGTCTTTCTTATTCACTGTCCAGCTTTTACATGCATATAAAGTGAGTGAAAATACCATGGCTTGGGTCAGGAACACCTTACACTCAAAATGGCATCTTTGCTTTGTAACACTTTCAAGAGGTCTCTTTCTGGTTCCATACCTGAGATCCACTGAAGATGTCAATGATGAATACCAAATCTTAGCAAGGCATGATGAATACATACCAACACCAAATGTCAGCCGCTTGAAGCACTGACATATCAGTTCAAAATGAGGATGTATTTTCACTCTATTCAGATCTCTCTTAGACCCATTCAGCTCCATCTAGAAGACCCTCCAGGGCTCACATTGCCTTCTAATTAAATCTATTTATTATTCTTTTAATATTCTTATCATCTCTTATAGGAGCACTGGTGCTACAGTGGTTAAAGTGCTTGCCTCCTAAGCAAAACTCATCAGTGTGAACTCCCCAGGCACACCAGAGGAGAAAGATTTGGCAATCTGCTTCCGTAAAGATTTACAGTCTTGAAAACTCTATGAGGCAATTCTACTATACCTTATAGAGTCACTAGAAGTCATAATTGACTTGACAGCAGTGGGTTTGGGGTTGAAGACACATCTTTTATTTGTTTGCCAGTTTCAGACATCTATAATTCACCTCCACTGTTCTTCAACTTATCTCCAAAACTGCACAATTGTGCTTCTTTATATACCTTTTACTGTAATGTGGTAGTTCTTATGTGCCATGGAGTCATCTTCATCTCATAGTGACCTTATGCACAGCAGAATGAAACACTGCCCGGTCCTGTGCCATCGTCAAGATCTTTGCTATACCTGAGCTCATCACTGCAGCCACTGTGTCAATCCACCTTGTTGAGGAAATCCCCCTTTTTCATTGACTTTCCCACTTTACAAAGCATGAAATAGCATTGTAATAGTGCTATTTAAACCTAACATGGAACATAGAAATCTAGTAACCTACACTTAACATAAAACAAACCCCAAGTTTGTAACATTTCTAAGGTTAATGACCGACAACATAAATTATTACAGGAGTGAAAAGATTAAACTAATGCAATTCCTCACTAAGAAATCAGGTTTTAGGGACTGAAATTTCAGACTGATTGTTAATCACTTGCTTCTTACACTTTGTGTTACAGATGCAGCCACTTTCCATATTAGTTCCCTTAGAATGACATATGGTAGTGCATAACGTAGAAAACTTTGCATATTTTATTTTAATAAAAATAACAATCTTAAAATATATAGGTATGGCAACAGAGAACATATCTTAATCATTATGACTTTGATTTCTACTGTTAATGTAAAAAGAACATTTTAACACGTATGACACAGCTTTCATCAAAAGGATTTTGTTAAGATTACTGAACTTTAAAACAATATATTATATGATTACAACTACTATTATAACAACTCACATTTATTGAGTATTTATGATATGCTACTTCTGTAATGATACCACCTCGGAAATGCAAGCAGGCGTTGCTATGAGTCGGATCCAACTCGATGGCAGTGAGGTGTTTTGTTTTTGATATACTAGATCTTCTTTTGAGTAATTTAAAACACACTAGCTCATTTGTTCTGATAACTGTATATAACATTGTTGGTTATATGAGAATTTAATCCTGAAGGAAGACAAAGCAAAAATTAATCTAGTCCTACACCATCATTTTGATGAGAAAACTGAGGTACAAGGAGACTAAATGTTTTGCTGAAGGCACAAGAGTAGCTATTAGAAATGCAGTATGATTTTTATTTTTCTCTTCCCCATAAGGCCAGGCTGTGTTTCTTTCTTTTTTTTTTTTTTTTTTAAAAAAAAAGGTCTGATTTTTGCTAAAGATAATTATCCAGAATTGACTTAAGATGTTTTGTCAATTTAAATTATAGAAGTTACAACATACAAAGGATGAAAATGTAATCTATGGTGTGCATTATACTTAATGTTTATTGAATAATTCCATCATTTTTTAAAGTAATCATATAGACTCAAAGTGGCAGGAAGCAAAACTTGAGAGAAACTGTAGATTTGGAAATTTTTAAAAGGAGTATATTACCTGAAGTATTCCTGGGCATCTTGAGTGCTAAAAACATTTCTTCAAACAATTCTTGAACATTTTTTTCCATCTTCAAAAGGGAATTTATAAGCTGTGATAAGAAGTTTAGTTCATATAAGGAGAGAGAGAAGTTTCTTCCTTTCTGTGGGCACTCTGAAGTAACTGAAAAGAGAACAACAATACAGTTTCATATCTTACATGTTCTCTCAGCAAATATTCCAGAACAACCAAACTCACTGCCGCCAAGTCGGATCTGACTCATAATGACCCCTTCTTGGGTTTCCAAGGCGGTATCACTACAGAAGTAGATTGCCCAATCTTCCTTCCGAGGAGCTGCTAGTGGGTTTGAACCAAAAGCCTTCTAGTTAGTAGTCAAATGCCTTAGGCAATTAGAACAATCTTTATTCCATAAACCAACAAAACTAATGAGATCCTCTACAATTAAACTGTTTGTTCCTAAAGAAACCCATATAAAATGTCTTAGGAGAGTTTTTTCTTCTGGGAAGTAGAGATGAGTATTATTTTTGCTATAGATTTGACAATTAAATAAATTCTCATAGTTACAAACAAGAATATAATTTGTTGTTGTAAAATCTTATTTTATACATTTCTATTTTTTGTTAAGTCTAACATAACTTGTATCCAATCACAAGGAAACATCAGATAAGCCCAAATTGAGAGGCATTCAACAAAATAACTGGTCTATATTCTTTAAAAGTGTCATGGCAAGAAACTCAAAACTGAGGAAGTAATTCTAGTCTAAAGGAGTCTAAAAAGACATGACAACTGCAATCAATACATGATCAGATACAACAGAAATTATTAGGGTAAAATTTGAATAAGCTCTACAATCCAATTCTATTATTCTAAGACAGTTTGTTTCCTGTTTTAGATAACTGTACTACGGTTATAGAAGAGAATGTCTTTGTTTCTGCAAATATACATTGGAGCATATAAGCATAAATGTCTGCAGCTAACTCTCAAATAGTTAAAATAATACACACACACACATATATACATATGTATATATGTTGTTGTTGTTGTTGTTATGTGCCCTTGAGTCCTACCCAACTCATAGCGACCCCTTCTTTGGGTTTCCAAGGCAGTATCACTACAGAAATAGATTGCCCAACTTTCCTTCCGAGGCGCTGGTGGATTTGAATGTAAATGTATATACTTATACATACATATATATATATAGGAGCTATGGTGGCATAGTGCCTAAGGCAATTGACTGCTAACCAGAAGGCTGGAAGTTCAAACCCACCAGTCACTCCTCAGAAGGAAGACTGGGCAATCTACTTCTAAGAGATACTGCCTCGGAAACCCAAGGAGGGGTTGCTATGAGTTGAATCAAGTATATGGCAGTGAGTTTTTTCTTTAAA